CTTCTGCGCTTGCTGGATGTGTTGTTAAGGGCGGGTTGGATGAGATAGTTGATGAGGTACAAAATGAAATTAAGAAAGCTTCAATTGATTTGAATTCTTTAAAAAGAGCTCCTAAAGCGTGGTGGAATGAGGAGCTAAAAAAGCGTTATAGACTGGTTTTGGCGGCGAGAAAAAAAGCTGCTGTAACGAACAGTGTTCATGATTTTGAAAAACTACGTCAATTGGAGGAGGGGTGGAAGAAAGAGGTGAAAGAGGCCAAAAGTAAGAGCTATAAATCTAGAATAGTGCAGTTGAACGAATGTGGAGAACAATTAAAATTGTTCCAATTCCTAAAGCTAATAAAAATTTAAGTGACTATAGGAATTTCAGGCCGATTTCCTTACTCTCGGTGGTGGTAAAGTGTATAAATATGTTAGTTAAGAATAGGTTGTATGACTGGGTTGAAGGTAAAAGTATTTTACCGCGAAATAGTTTTGCGTATCGCAAGGGGATGTCGGCATCGATGTGCCTAAATGAATGCTTGCATTGGGCTGGTAGGCTTAAACAGGGTAATAAGAAAGTGTTTATGTGTGTATTGGATATCTCAGATGCGTATAATTGTGTTGACATCTCACTTCTAGGGGATATTTTAGACGGTGTTGAGAGGAAGATTTGCAACTGGGTCATTAATTTCCTTTCTAGGAGAGTTTTGGTTTTGGGTAAGGAAAGGGTTGAGGTTTCCAATGGTCGCTGTTTATCCCCACTGTTATTTAACCTGTACACTGCAAGTTTGCACTGTTTGGGTGATGTAAATTACAAAAATGTTCCAGTTTGCGGATCATTTCGCGTTGTTGTGTGGTGGGAATAGTTATATTGAGGCTATAAACTGTTTAAATGGTAAGTTGAATGAATTCAATACGATGCTAAATAGCTGAAATCTTAATATAAATGTAAGCAAAACGAAATTTCTATTAATGCTGCTGCTAGTTCAAGTAGAAATCTTATCAAGATCCTTACGACTATAAAAGGTGGTTTGGAACCCATAGTTGCGATTAACTTCTACAAGGCCTTTGTCAGAAGTAAAGTTGAATTTGCGAACACTACATATGCTAATGCTCCCCGAGGGTTTAATAAGAGGTTGCAAGGTATTTCAAATGATACGCTGAGGAGGTGTCTAGGTCTTCCTCCGAGTTCTCCTATTCACGCGAGATATGCACTGGCTGGGGAGCTTCCGCCTCTCAAAAGGGCTGAACGGCTTACTGCCAAGGAGTTAGGTAAACAATGGATTGTGAATGAAGAATTAAGAAAGGATCTGGTTAGTGAGTACCCTGTTAAGTCGAGTTATAGTTTTGTTTATTCCAAATTTAAGAATATTTTTAACAAAATCAATGTTAATGTCTCCTTTTGTAGACATGCTAATTTTAGTGTGGAATTTTCTTCTTTGGTTAAGTCTAAGAGAGAGTTTAGTAAAGAGCAACTTACTAGTATTTTCAGATGTAAGTTTGATGAATTGGCGAAGGAAGGTTGTTATATGCTGGCGACTGATGCATCTGTAGTGAATGATGTTGTTGGTATTGCTTTTTATGATCCTCAGGAAAAAATGTATAAGATGTTTAAGTTAGAGGGGAATTTTTCATCTACTTTTGGAGAATTAGTAGCTATTAGACAAGCAGTTTGTTTTTTAATAAAACAAAACATAGATAAGTGGGTTATTATCACGGATTGCTTAGCGGCTGTACGGTTGCTAGGAAGGAGGGTGTCTACAAATTTTATAGTGGCTTCTATTCACAATATGATTGCGAACTCGAACTGCATTAGTGCCAAGTTGGTGTGGGTGCCTAGTCACGTTGGTATTGGGGTGAATGAAAGAGCTGATGAATATGCAAAGGCTGCAGTCAGTGAGGGATTGACGATTAATGTAGATCTTACCTTGGGTGAAGCGTTGTGTAAAATTTTAAGTAATATTTGGACAGAGTGGGAAACAGAATTTAGAGACATCAGCATTACAAAAGGGAGTTTTTTTGCTGGCAATATTGGTGATATTAAAAAGCGTCCTTGGTTTATAGATAAAAAATGTGATTTAGGTGTTCATGACATCAAACTTATTAACAGGTAGATGATGGGACACACTTATGGCAGAACTTATTTAAGCAAGTTTCAGAGAGGTATTGACGATTTATGCGCAGTGTGTAGAGTCAGAGAAACAAGCGATCACCTTATCTTTCATTGTAAAAAGTTTTCATCTGCTAGAAGCACTTATACCTTTTTTAATAGATGTAATAATTTAAAAGTTTTTTAATATTTCTAATTTGTCTCTTTTTAGTGAGCTTATACATTTTCTGCATAAGGTAAATCTGGACAAAGTCCTATAAAAAAAAAATTAAAATTATATAAAATATATGCTTTTTTGAATATTTGGATTTGTCTAGCAATAGACCTTTGTTTAAATTGGAAAAATAAAAATACGAGAAATGTGGTTAACTGAATATATACAATTTTATGTTCTAGTATCTTAGATGACTGATTAATTGAATATACTTAATTTGTTGTTCTACTATCTTATAAGACTGTCATGATTTAACTTTTGACCTGTGGATGGTTGTGAATTGCACCTTTTAAGTGCGTAGTATAGTACAAAGTTTTGTAATTAAAAAAAAAAAAAGAATAAAATAAATAAAAACAGAAGATTTTATAGTATTAAGAAGGTTATATATAAGGGAAATAAGAATTAGATTAAAAAAAAAAACTTTGAAAAAAAGGAGAAAGCGGCTTAGACTGATGTAAGTTTTTCTTAATTCAGTAGTGCCGGAATTATTTGAATTGTCTATTTTCATGTTAGGTATGTTGATTAAATTGCTATTCAGTATTTTTTGCAGTGTGTAATTTCCCTGTAGAGTTAATGTTAATTTTGCGTTTTAGTTTTTCTTTTATGTTTGTAAGTCACCACTCTTGTTCTTCGGTGGATCTTTTCTTCGTTGGACTCAATTGTGGATCTGCTCTTACGACAAAGACGATGTTTGACAACTTTAAATTATTAGTATAACCTGGCCCCTGAGGTTATAATAATACCTGGCCGTTTTCAAATGTCTGATGACATTGTTAATTAAAAAAAAAAGGACTAAGTACTGATTGTAAAAGTATCCTAGATACTTCTACCTAACGAAATACCGTGTGCTCAAGTAATACATAGCAAGTAAGCAAAAGGCTGAAATTGTTGAAGTTATTTTTTGCTTGTACGAAAAAATTGATTCTAATACGCCTGAGATATAAATTAATGAATAAAGATCCACAAAATATTAAACAATTTGTCAATAAGAGTTGCCGTAGCACATATACATTGTATAGGATTGGTGTAATTTTGTCGTATGTACCATACAATTTATCACATAAGACGACGGGCCGTATGCATAAAACCTAAGCAAATGCCTTGTCTTGCAATTTCAAACCTTTTACTCGATTCAAACAAATTTAACTGAAAGGTATGAAATTTTAAGTAAAAGCTATTGCTTTTTTTATGAATACGGCCTAATATTTTAACAAGGAGTTTGATCAAACTGTATGAAAATTTTGTCGTATGTGAAACTTTTCGTCACATACAACAAAATGTTGACCGAGTCGCTTGCGAACTTGCAAATACGACAAAATTTTACTCAATGTCTCGGAACCCAAATTAGAAATCCGAAAACTGATAACACCAATCGAAAGATCTCATTTAAAAAAATAACACAAAATGACGCTTACGACAATATTTTACCCAGGCGACGATTTCAGCCTTTTGCTTACTTGTTGTGTGCGTGATTTGTAGTATCCCAGTAGCGAAATGGGTCACCGGTGACATCGTCACTAATGAGGATTTATTGACATCATCGCATTTGCTGTGAATCCTAAACGACATATAGGTGACAATGACACTGGTCACAATGTCATGCAGGTGTACTCCTATCAAAGACTTATAACAGACAATGTCTTGCAGCGGTCACTTATAAAAAGTCCATTGCAAGATACTGTCGCTTGAATGTCATTAATGATCACTGCATGACCAAGTCATGCAGATGACATCAACGACGAAATTACCATTTATCTGAAAAAGTCATGAACGACTTCCATACAAACGGAGCCCAAAGTAATTTAAGAGTATATTTTCCGTACAAGACTCTTAAGTGACTAATGCATGACATTCGCTACGGGGATATCATACTGCCGACCAGCATTTAATGTGAAAATGTAACATACGACAAAATCATTTTATAAAAAGTGGCTGTAAAAGCTGTATGGGTTACTGAAAATTTAAAAAAATGTGGTTTTATACTTTTAATACTATGTACAATCAAGCATTAAAATTTGGCAAAAAACTATTGTACAGCTTTTGAGAAATTGTGACTGAATCTTTAACATCGATTTCCCAAAACCTGGCCAAAGTAACATACGACAATATTTTACCCAGGCGAAAAAACAATAACCGAGTCGAAATTTTAGATAATGCCTAGCAATTTTCGGCACGACTCGAGTAAAGTAGAGCGGGATGAGTATTGAACGTCATTTTCCATGTTTTGTGTACGCAGATTACGAAAATTTGGCCAGTTTTGGAGTGGCGGTGTATTATATTCTTTAGAAAAAATGTGTATAGCAGCTGCTTCGGAGCTGCGGAACGAATTAGAAATAAGAAACTGATGCCAGGTAAAACTTTGTAACATTGCGTGACATTTACAACTTTGCCACCAAAGCGCCAGGCGCAGATTTAAATCCGCAAAATATCGGTTTAAATGCAATAACCGCATTGCAGTATGGAAGAAATGGCACAGCTTGACATTAAAAAAAAATTTGGCTTTATTTATCAACCTCAGTATTATTCTCTGCGGCAGAACTTTTCAATTTGGTTTGAAGCTGCTTATTAGCTTTTGCGTTCTCAATTGGTGACTCCAGTTCAATGGTGACAGGCCCATCATTTTGAATGTGTACTTGCATGTATGCGCCAAATTTGCCATCTATCCAAAAGTATAAAATTAATTGGTGTATTTACAACTAACAGCTTTAAGAACATTTAACTACCTTTTATTTTCGTCGCATCATAGTGTTTTTCCAACCGTTTTAGAAACGAGTTATATAAGTTTTGCGCAGTGTCGCCTTGCATGGCCAAATGAAAATCAGGTTTATTCCCTTTAAGACGGTGATAGAGTGTGAATTGCGAGACGCACAATATTTCCAGTTGCTCATCTTTGATGCTTTTCTGCCAACGTTTACCTGCTGTATCTTCAAAAAGACGTAGGGCGACGAGCTTGCGGACGCTGCCAGTAATGAAGAGATGTAATTTGGTAGTTTAACCTAATTTGTATCAACCACACCTACAGATATTCCACATCCTTTTCCGTGTCCGAGTGCGTTATACCCACAAGCACGCATAGGCCACGTCCAATCGAGCTAATCAGCTCGTCGCCAACTTTAATGAGATTTATGTGTTTTAGCTAGCATGATAGATTTTTATTTCATAACTTACCGGTTACCTTTGCGGCAGTTACTCTCTGCACAATGGCCTTCATTTAAACAAATTTGCTCTAAAAATTCCTGTATTTTCTATAATTCTCAAAAGTCTCGGTGCCTAAAAATGGCCCGCAGGTGGATTATGTTTACGTTTTCACAAACTGTGTAATCAGCTGTCGCCACGGATGCCACTGTTCGTTGTTTCCAACCAAACTTGGTTCTTTTTCTTTAATTTTTCTAATTTGGTTGTTTGGTAGTTTATCCTCTGGTTTGGTTTTTTTTAAATAGAAATTAGCAAATTTTTTCCTTACAAAAAGTAATAGCAACGTTAACTTCTACCAAAACGTGAATTAATGTTGCATTTCCACAAAATTTTAATTAAAAAAACCCGGCCTCAAGCTCAATCAAGGCGAATTTATATAAGGTGGTGTTACTAGCTCAGCTGATTTTGTGTATGTGTTTCGCCGCACAGCTTCTGATATCAAATTGAAAAATTTTGTTTGAATTTCTACACACACCCTTACAGATTTTGACAGTTTATGCCGCCAAAGCAAAAACAAAATACATGTAAATTTTTGTTTTTGTACTCCTGCTATCACCTTATATTAATTCGCCTTGAGCTCAATAAAGTTGTTGAATTTTTGTTTTTTTTGTAATAAGTTTTCCCTTTTTGTAATAGAGAGGTGGATAACAAATGTGGTTATTTTTTCGTCAGATTTTGTTTCGCTATTTTTAAAGGAATGGCATCCGTGGCTGCTGCTGTAACATGTTTTATTGTACTGTGGCGAATACTGCGGCAACACAAAGCGGACAACGAGAAATAGGCA